GCCCTCATCCTCATATCCACTCTGCATCAGTTGGGCAATAACAGTCTTTATTAAAAGCGCATTGCAGCAGTGTCTGCCCATACAACTTACTTTCAGATTGCCCATAATGTGGCATTGTAGAAAAGGGTCTGGTGGTTGGGGGCTACAATATCCTGTTTCTGGAAAGGTTTGCTTTGCATTTTAACAAGCATGAATAAAGAAAGACATTCCAGAAACGGCTACCGTCTGTTTCACTCTTGCCTGTGGGGAGCAAAAGCTCAGACTCTGGATGTTGCATGCCATCCAAGCGTGGCCTGGCTCACCTCTGATTGTACCTGAATTTCAAAGTTGTAGCATGGCCAGAGGTCACAGATTGTATGAGAGGAGGACAGAAGAAAAAAAAAATCATGTTTGATCTGGTGCAAAAACAACCAGAAGCAGAAGATGAAAGAGTAGGATAATCAGTATATTAGATCTTGTAAGTCAATTAACTACCATTAAAAAAACCAAATTTATCATCTATACTTTTATGTTATTTCCCACATTCATCAGTTTTTTTGTCTTTAGGGAATATTTTAACTATTTATTGTCTGCTATAAAAATAGGATAAAGTTCATAAATTATACCAAAATACGTTAGTATCACTTTTGGCACACACAACAGTTTTCCATAAAAAAGCATTATCCATATTATACACTATCTGACACTGTATAAGGATTCATATTTAAACTAATACACTTTTAGAACATATTTTTATGAAAAAAGCCTTCTTAAAAGTAATGTGTAGCCTCTTGGACTTGGATGGTCAAATCTTAGTCTAGCATTCAATGGGCACAGTTTTTGAGCTAATTTACAGCTTATTTAAAGAAAAAAAAGATCTCAGAAATCAGCTTTCTTAGTCATAAAATGTTACGCATGAAATGAAAAAGGCAGTTATGTTTGCAGGCATGTAGACAGACTCTGAAAGTAGTAAACGAAGGGATTTTCACTTCAATTAAAGGTATTACCTAACAGTATGTGTAACAAAAGGAAGAACAACACCTCCAAAAACAATTGTTTTTTTTAAAACACTCAAGTATTTACGTTTACTCAGACAAGACACAATGACTTGTGGCTCCCCAGGTGGCCCCAGCCCTGTTTCTCTCCTTTCCAGCCTCTGTGGCTCGCAGACAGGGATTTCCTTCTGCGAAGAGAGCCAAGCCGTCACAGCCCAGCGATCAAGGGCCTGCCATCTGTGACTGAGGCAGATTTACAGCAGCAGCTAATCCTCACTGTCAGCCACGTTTGTTCTCCATCTCTGCCTCCTTCATACACTTGCATAAAAATGCACATTTATACACACACACACCAGAAAAATACTAATATTTCACCATCTTCAAATACTCTGCGCCCCTGCTTTTGTCTCCTTGTCTATTTCATAGGCAGACAAAAACCAAGCATCACTTTTCAGTTTACTTTGCCCTTTTTACAGTCATGCTCTCATTCTGCTCTATGCTAAAAAAATAATGGTATTTGATTAGGTGCTAAGAAACCCCAATGTGTCACAGAGCTATAACCCCTGGGAGTATCATTCAAATGAAATAGAGTCATTATAGGTGGGAGTGTGCCGATAGTTCTCAAATGTAAGCTACCCAAACATGTTTTTCCACCTGGACTTGCATCCATTTTTATTCTGAGTGTCCATATGACTTTCTATGTAGAGCCGGGAAAGATGACATTAGCACCGGTTGCCTCGCTCTTTTTTGTCACTGAAGATCTAAACGCACGACACATTTTGCTCTTGGGCTCCAGAAGCACCTTTCATCTCCCGTGAATGTGCACGTCGCCATCTTCTCTGAATATCTGTTCATATCGAGCCACTTTTTCGTAAAACTGAAGATTAGTGCGGGTGTCTAATCTTCAGTGTCAAACACGAGGTTTACTCAGTGACCTTTGCACACATGGCAGATGTGTGGGGCTGAGATCCCTTGGAGACATCCTTTGTTTCCCCACAGATAAAGGGTTAAAGAAGACAAATGAAGGTGGGGCCACAGAGGAACATGCCTAAGCAGCACATTTATAGTATAAGCAAGAATGAAAACAATGCGGGGACTTTTGTGCATGTATACTCTAAATAAAAATAAAACTTCTGCTGTCCTTGCCTTCTTTGGACTTTATGCTCAGTGGAGATATTAGGCTCCAAATTCCTGCTGCCCATATTTGCTGCATCCTCATGAGAAGCCGCGATATGGAAAGAAATATTCTACACGTAGTGCTCAGTGATGTGGTTCAGAATTATGCCTTAGTTGTTAAAAAAAAGTAAGAGATTTTCTACCTTCAGTCAATATTTGCAACATGTGTTTGATGTTTATTTTTATTTTATTTTGTAGGATATGGGAGGAAGTGAGATATAAACTTAACACCTAAACCAGCAGAGAAAGAGTTCCTAGATCAAGCCAGAAATTAATAAGACACAAATAGATTACTCAAAAATTCTTGATCAGCTCAGAAACCAGTCAATGTTCAATCACTGTAGCAAATATCTCAAAAATACAAAAGACAGAAGTGTAAAATAAGTGACAGAGAGGGAATAATGAAGCACTGCTCAAAAGAAGGAAATGCTCTGGCTCAGACTAGAGGATGCTGCTTTAAGGCAAACTACACAGCTGTGGCTATCCAGAAGAAAGTACGAAGTAAGCACTTTTGGATATTACAGTTGAAGACTGTTACTGTGGTAATTTAAATCAAAATAAGTATGTTTCCACCGTGTAAACAAACAGGGATATTGCTAAATAATTGACTCCAGTAAATAATACTGGGTCACAGTCATTGATATTGAATTTGATTATGGTTTTAGAAAGCAGAAGAGTAAAAAAATACCCCAACTGTACTGTTAAAAGTTTTTCCTATGTTGTAAATAATACGTATCTGCATGCACCAAACATTGACCCTTTAAAAGTTTTTATTCTGGGAAATTGTATTAATTTACTTATTTAATTTCAATAAAATCTATTTCCAAACTAACAGTTTGCAATTACAAAATTCAAGTTTGGATGAGTGGTCCAAATTTAGGTGAGAAATGCAAATTCACTAAAATCTTATTGTTATAAGAGGATATGAACAGTTAGTAAAGCTTTATAATACAAAAGCAAGACAATTGAATTTTAATCTCATTATGGTAATTTTACTAACACTGCTTATGGAAGTTCAAGTCTGAGATACTACTAAAAATATGACTACAGCAATTTGCACTGATCTTGGACATGCTTAGACGAAATATTTCTGACAAAAACTGAACATTTCACTAAAAAGTGAAATGTTTGACTGGATCAGAAATAGATATTCTGCCCCAAAATGATGGAGTGCCCATGCCCTGCCAATAGGTGGCAACAATACCAACTTAAACTCACAAATGAAAGCATATAAAAGAACAAAGGAAGTGATTTATCCAAAACAGAACACACTGCGTTTTCAGGCAGTAACACCTTCAGCACCTGATTGCTGTGTGTTAATAGGGTCAACAAAAAGTTAACCAGATAGAAAAACATGAGAAGCAACTTTTTGAGTCTATGCAGAATCTTGAAACTCAAAATCTATTAAAAAATAAATAATATTCACTTTGGGATGTTACTTTTGATACCATTCTAGTTATTGTCACTGAAAGTCCAGCTGGCATGAGAAAATTCAGTACAAAGTATGAAGGAAACATTTAGTCAATGATGCATCTAAGCAAGTGTGTACTCCGTCAAATAATTAAACACTACAGTAAAGCTGTAGGTCTTATAAAGAAAAGGACAGGTTTTACAATTAATTTTGTCCTTGAGTTTTCAAACTGCATGGTTGACCTATAAACACTGACAGGGAAAAGGTTCCAGTGGTCTGTTTTAGTAAGTGAGGCTTCTTGTAATTCGATGAGGTTCTGAAGGGCTGTAAGCATTTGTACATGTGTAATGCACACTGCCTGACTCAAGGCTTGAATTCCTAATTTGGATATAGATATGACCATCTAAGACGTAAAAGTAAAAAAAAAGAGAGAGAAAAGGACGACGTAAATCGCCTATCATTTACTAAAAACAATTTGCAAACAGCACAACTCTTCTCTCTATCCTGAAAACACAAAAAAAAATATGCCTACCCCCATCCCTTTTAACCTAAATGCCCCTTCCTCTTGCCTTTGCATGTTCGCCTGTCCACTGTACTGTAGTCATTAACATATTTGGAGTGCAGTGAGCAGAAAGCTTAATTGTCCCTAATTGCTCAGCTAAATATGTTCTCTAATGATTTGCTTCAGATCTGTGACTGCCTTTTGCGCAATTTCCCAGCCGCTGGCTTCATTATCCCTGCCTCCTTGGAACAAAGCGTCTTCACAGGCTGGCCCTTTTTTTCACCCACATAACACAGACAGTGAGTATGTGTGCGAGGGAAGTAAATGGTTCCTTCTTGGAGGGACACACAATAGAGGCCCTTTGTCAAGACACAGAACTTAAACTGATTAGAAAACCAAATCTCTACTAAGAAAGCGTGTTAATTGACCACAGCTCACTCCTCCTAATCAGTCCGTAATAAATGGACAGTGGAGTCACTTTGTTTTAGCCAAGCTACAGTTGAGGCAGTGTCTGTTTTTGGTGTTCTTGTTTAGAAAGCCACTGCTGTTGTTCAGCGTGTCCTTCTCCATACATAATGTTCTATCTTAATGTGTCTCTAATGGCTAAAAAGGACAGCTTCCATTAACAGGGAGTTGTGCCTTGGCAGGAATATTTTGTTGTAAATTATATTTGCAGCTAAAAATTGAATGAAAAAAAGTTATGCATATGTTGCTTGTTTTTGTCATTTAGTTCAATCAGGGTAAAAAGGCCGTCCAAAGGTAGGAATATTCAAATAAACAAAAAAGTAACATGAAAATCGAAAGGTGTAGGTGCACACATCAGATAGGACAAATGAAGCATCTTAACTGAGCCACTTGATGACAGTTCTTGAATAAAGCTGCAAACGAATAAAAGAAAGAAATTTATGCGTAAAAAACCAAAAGGTCATGTCCTGACCTGTGTCTGAAGATGGGCATTTGCGGATGGTGAAAATGGAGCTAAGGTCCTCGTCCTCCTCCGGCAGGCCCTTCTGCAAGCGCTGCAGCTTCCTGAGGCTCTCGCTGCGTTGGTGCTTCATGGAGCGCACATGTTGGATGAGGTTGAGTTTGGCCTTGGTCGAGTAGTTGCACAGCACACAGTGGTAGTAGCAGGCATCTCCCTCCACCGCATTTTCGTGCTGCTGCAGGTGCTGAGGGAGAAAAGAAGAACGGCGGAGCAAAAGGGAGGAAGAGAGAGACGAGAAAGAGAGAGAAGAAAGAAGTTATTGTGGATGGCAGATAGCTGGCCCGGCACCACCGACTCACTTTCACTCACACTGCTGGCAAATGAACAAATCAATTCCCAATCACGGGCCCGTTGTTTAACATCCAGACCTCTTTCACTTCAAGACAACTGTTTGGACTGCACACTTGTCTGAGTGAGTGTCTGTTTCATGGGCTAACAGGACAGGAAAAGCCGGGGAGGCACGCAAATCTCAGGGGGCCTAAGGGTGGGCAGGAGTGGCATCAGCCATCCTTCAGAAGCCGTGGGTCCGCAGCCTCACAGACGGAAGGAAGCATTGATCCCCTTCACTCAACAGAAGCTTCCAGTCTCTGGAAAAGGAAACTCCAAACATCTGCCTGTTTCACGCATGGGATACTAAATATTGATCATGGCGAGTTAAATTCTCGCTCTCATAGAGAAACAGAGGCAAAGTCGGCTTGTGGTGAGGCAGGAGGGGGGACTGAGTGCAATCTGAGGGAAAACAGAACATTCCCCAACAGGAGGACAATCTTCGCAAAACAAAAAAATCGGCATCAGTATTGACCCCGACACTTAACAGCATGCCCTGTCCGGCCTCCAGCCTGTCCCTCTGTAGAGTCACAACATGCATAACACCCCATAGTGACACCGTGCCACCACAACCACTCGTCACAACCCCAAGCCCCAATCTAATTACCTCCTGCATGACTCAATCAATGATGCAAGGCCAACACAATATGACTTGGCCTGGTGTGAGCAGTGGAGTTATTGACCATTATCCTAAAGCATCACACTGATGCATGTATGCAATAAAAGTCCCTCACTCTGTATGTGTCATGCCTGTCATTTGTCATACTCATATGAAACTGGGATGTCTTGCTGTGGATTTCTGTGGATAAAATCAATGTCAGACCATAAGTTTTCCTCTTTTCTGTTTAATTTTCTTGATTTCTCTGTATGTAGTGTGAACCATTTTGATAGGCGAAAATATCTTTAACGTCATCATGTTCTAATTAATTTTGGATGATTTGAAAAGTAAAAGTTTTTAAACTCTATAATGTTCTAAATAGATGCCTTATTACCATGAGCTTATTTGCTAAAAGAGTAAAAAAATATGTCAATCTATTTTTCTGGGACAAATTAAGACAAAGACTGGTCAACCTCAAATGCCATTAAGATGAGTTTCTCTTAATGTTCAGTGTTTTAAGGGAATGGTTAAACAAACAAATCATTAATAGAAATGAAAGAAAAATCGAACAGGACATGAAAGCATCACAACTTTAAAACCAACTAAAATGGTTTGTGGAAAAATAAGCCTGGGTAAGATTAATCTGAGAGAACAAATCGACTGCTTTAGCTGACTGCTGAGTATTTTTCCTCCACACCTCCAGAATATAATCCTTTAACTTTATTTGCCCTAAATGTTCACCTGCATGATCAGAATATGGTTCTACTTATGAAAAGGAAATTGAGCTACCCTCTCCTGAACTAGATGGCCCGTTCCGTTGGCTGTAAAATGTAAAAGCAATGGAAATATCACACATTTAACTGCATTACCTTCAAATCAGGTGTTGACAGCCTGGTACAGAAAAAAGTCATAACAGTATTATGCCTCCCTAAAATGCTCTTGTCCTTTTCTCCTAATGTTTAATTTTCTGGCAATATTGTAATGTTGCCATGGGGTTTTCTGAGCTATTGTGTTTCATTCTTTTTGGTTTCACATTTCTCACTTCTACACCTAAAATGTGCATTAAGACACCGCTTCCAGGAAAAGGAATAGGAGATTTTTTTCCTCTTTGTGAGCCCCACAGCTCAGTGTAATAGAGTTATTAGGTGATTGTAAAAAGCTCTGTGTGCTCTCCTTTCTCGCCTCGTTTTAAGCCATCCATGATGTCATGAATAGGTGTTGCTGGATACTGTGGGGGCCCTGCTCCTTCTCCTTCTTTATGCGCTCCACACAAATATTGCATCAGAAATAAGGTAGAGGGAAATATGAGACAGATTCAGTTATAGATGACAGCAAATCAGTCAAATTGCTTTTAGTCACAGCAGATGTCTTGAATTAAAAAGGGCTGCTGCCGCAAATGACTCAAGGCTCCAAACATCTACGAGAAGACAAGTTTTAAAAAATGACAGCACCTGACTGCAACTTCAAAGCCAGTCTCATGAGGAAGGGGGGAAAAAATCCTGGGAGTTTTATAGTTCCCCATAAAAAGCACAAGGTTTATATAGGAGTGAACTCGAGACCGCCTGCCCCGCAATCGACCATAATTCACTATAAACCTGACTGGTCAGGGAGATGGTCTCAGTGGGGCCAAAAGCAGCCTGCCCTGCTGCTTGTAGCTCTGTCTACTATCTCAAATGATTACACCTGTAAACCAACACTTTCACCATCTCTGCATTGGCCGTGACCTGCAGCAGTCTGGGGCATTTCAGCGTCAGTGAAACAGGAAGGGAATCATGCGTAATGAAGAGCGAGGTGGTCTCTGCTCATTTAGCATTCAGGGCCTAAGTCTTAGACATAATTGTGTATTGCATAAGAGAGTAGCACAGAGACAGCCAGCAGCCCTCTGATCATCACGCTCACAAGCTTTCTCTGATTCTCAGTGGATTCCTTGAATTATCCATGCAAGATTCCTGGGATCACATCTAAAAGCACAAATATATATTGGATATTCTCTCAGGCCAGCTCCAGGTCTCACTCAGACATCCACACTTAGAATGTGAAACATAGTAATGCATGAGACGGGGCTTGTGTCTGTTTCCTATGAACCTTCAATGAAGTCCCCGGTTGATAAATCACCTCCAACTCGAGAGGAGAAATTTGGCAGCTTAATGAAAAAGTCATGTTGGCCTAGGAGGACTTGTGCTGCCTGACTCTGGGGTCTCTTACTGCCCTATCAGGGCCCCAACTGGAGGGGTGCTGCGGTGCTTTGGGGTGGGGGGTGTGGGCACTTGATTGCCTCGGTTGCAGTGATTTCAGTAGCACTTACCGCATTTAAGTAGTGGGTGCAGCTGAGGGATTTTAATGTAAGACTGGCTGTAAAGCAACAAAAGCTAGACATACTAAAAGCATAATGATACTATATGTGTAAAACAAAACATGATCGCAACGATACGTTGATTGGTGACAATTATTATTAAGCAAAATTTTATTTATGTTAACAGAGAGGGACAGAACTCCACATATTAGTCCATCAACAAGAATCTTAAAATATTAAACTACTATTTACAAAAGTGTATTTCCATTAACTTTTGTCAAATCATAATCATGACTTGGAGTGTTGTGGTAATTTTAGGTGACAAACTAAAGGAAGAAGTGCACAGTGATAAATTGGAGGGAAAATTATTAATGTTTTTCAACATTATTTTTTTCTGAAATGAAAAGCGTGGCACGTGTTTGTATCCACCCACCTGAGACAATATTTCATAGAAACACCTTCTGCTAAAACTACAGTTTTAAATCTATTGTAGTTTGTGTATTTAGGCACATCTAAAGGTTATCCTTAATCCTTTTTTTAAACAGCATAATCTCAGTCAGACTGCATAATTTGTCTGTGAGTATCAATGTTATTCTCATTTTAGTTATTTCTAGTCCTCTAAATTTCCTGTTCCTACTGAAGAATAACATCCACACATCATGATGCTTCCACTCCCATGCTTCACAGTGCGAGTCTGTGTCAACAGTGATGTATGGTTTCAGTTTCCGATGGGAAGGGAAACTCTGCATAAGGAACAAAAAGGTAATTCTTGGTCTGACCACAACAGATTCCAGAACCAAAACAGCTGCATTTACACTGAGATAAGTTGACTACATTAGATTCTTATTACGAGGTACAAGATCAAAGCAGACTGAATACAAATGAATGCTCCAACTTTGAGGCTTCTTGTTGCATTATTTCTCCCTTTCTTTGCACATCAGAATTATGTACTACTTTTAGTAGTCTATTAAATAAACTCCCAGTAAAGTACTGGCATTTGTACAGTACTTGTAACAAAAAGTTCAAGGGGTGTCAATATTTTTCCAAGGCACTGTAGGTGTTCATAGTGTGAGAAGGTCCGGTTCTCAGCTTTATTTTATCTCCATGGTCTAAAATTGCAATCGAGGCATTTTAAACCTCTCTCCCTGATGACGGCCCTCATCTCTCATTGTGGAGGCTGAAGCAGTGCTCTGTGCTTTTTCAGGTAAAGAGGGACAGGGGCGGTGTGGGTACCACCCCATCCTCTCTCTCACAACTCCATGCTGCTCCTTGCCCTCTGAGTGGGCATACACATGCCTGTATCAGTTACGACACCCACCCAGGGCACGGCATACATCTGCATTTCCAGCCACTTAAATGCAAAGTAAAAGTGCACCTTTAACACAGAATAGTGTGGTTGCTGGGAGAGTCCAGCTAATACAAGATTAAGGGGGTATTACTGGAAGGGTGGAAGGGAGAAAGAAAGCCGGTAATTTCAAAGAATGGCTCCCAAAGGAGCCGGTAATATAGCACGTGCCTGCAACAAACACATGCAAAAGTATAGACAAAAAGAGCATCAGGACTGTTCACACACAGTCACACAAAAACACACTCACAGTCACATGCCATTATGATCATAGCCTAATTTCCACCATTAAATGTGGCAGTGCTGTTAATACAAAATTAATGCATTAAAACAGATTACTATCTGTGAGCTAAATAGCTATCAATTCCAAGAGAGCTGCCAAATTCCCAGTGAGAGCCAGCGAGTATCTGCTTGGATATTGCTTTGTAATTGTCTCCCTGATTCTCAGCACTAAAAGCTCTCCTCTGACTGTGTGTGTATGTGTGGGCACATGCATACGGGCATTTTATGAGAGGCATACATGGTTTAGAAAGCTACAATTCACACCTGACGCTGTGCAAAGTACTGTAACAGGGCAGGCATGAGAAAATTATATTATTGAAATCACAGAGGTACGAATCA